CGATGTAGCTGCTATTGTGTACATGTGATAAGTTGGGGCTAAAACAATAGCAATCTATAAATGTAAACAAAAAAATACCGAAATGATTGACAGATAACATAATAAGAATAATTATAAACACTTATATTAACACCATACTCAGCTACATGTGCGGACCTTGGGATAGAGGATTGAGACCCTCACCTCGAGTTGAGGATTATTAAAAATTAGAAAACATATTAATGAAGAAATTAAATTAGAACCACGTTAAAATTAATGCAATTCACATACTAAGAAAATTATGTTAGCCGCGCAGATTAGAGAGTTGCTGGCTTAAACATTCTCGACTCTAGCAGAAACGGTTCAAATCTCGCCTAGGCGAGCTGAAATTTATTTTGTGGCCGACCCGCTGAATGAATCTCAACCTTCCCATTCTGGTTAGGATAGCTTTGGTTGCACTTTTAGAACGACCTTTCTCCACCCATTTCCTTGCATGTCAGTAATGGCGAGGTTATGGATATTAAAAAAAAACCAATAAACACAAACTTATTAAATTAAATATTTATTTTTACTAGCAGAAGAATGGGACTTTCAGGATGTAATTGCCCGGCGATAAGATGACTTAACTCATATCCGTTTGCTATATTCGGTATCATTCTATTACAAATCCTCAAATAAATCTTAGGTGATAAAACTTATCTTCAAATGACTTTCATAGCTAGCCGCTGGAGTAGTTCATTAAAATCCTCATCAGTTTGCTTCTTCACTAACCGTAACGTTTATGGTATAGCCATCTTTAGACATAAATTTTACATTTAATTCGCATGCAGCGAAATACATAAGAAATGTTTATTAATTAAGATAGGACAATATATCAGAAAATAAGAATAGATTTTTCATTGAAATCTATACATGTTGTAATTTGATGAAGAATTTTAATTAATGAAAATTCAATTAATTAGGGTGTATTTGTGTATGTGATAAACAATATATAAAAAAGACGTCAGGTAAGAATAAAGAAAAGACAATGTAAAAAGAGAGGCTGAATATTCAATCAGCTGAGACAATAGGAAAAAAAAAAGATATGAAAACCTTCGATGATTGTTGGAGTTCAAAAGAATTGGTCCTCATATCAAAATGGAGAATTGTACAAGCAAAGAACTTTTTTTAAATATAACCTGCACTATACTTCCTTTGTATAATGATTATATTATTAGACTAAGCATTCATACAAAAACTTACTTAGGAAAAGCCATTTTAAGGATACAAGCAAGGAAAAACCAACAGAACATTCTTGTACCACTTGCAATTGATCCATTTCTAAGAATACGAAATACAGTTTTTTTTTTTTCTTCAATGGTATGATATGTGTGGTATCTTTAAACTCATAATAATACTACATTTTATGTATGAGTCAGTTTTTATTTCTTATGAAAGGTTCGTATATACCATATTTTAAAATTAATTTTAATTCTCTATACTACAGAGATATTTATATAACGAATAATATCATAACAATAATTTAGACAGTTTATTTATAATTGCAACTTAAATTTTACTTTCCTAATGATTAGCTTCATAGAATTTTTTTCTCTCCAAACCTATAGGCTGGAGAATTTTCTAGGAGTTTGATTACATGAAAAATATACTAGGAAGGACAATTATGACCTTAAAATATAATACACAAAAAAATAAAGTAAAAATATAGAAAATCATAATTGAGTTTAAACAATCATATTTAAGTAACATCTAACATTAAACGTAAGTAAACACATAATGAAAAATAACAATAACACAACAATAACATGAGAGGTTTGAAAATAAAACAATAAATTCTAAGTATAAATTAAACTAAAAAGGTTAAAACTTCAACTATCAAATAATTTCGGTTATAAATGGAATAATCTAACCACATTGCCCAGTGTGACTAAAATACAGGTAAAGAATAGCCATCTATACATAGATAAACGGGTATGTGTTTGGATCGCCATGGTGTGATGTGATTATTGTCTCTGTACGGAATATGCGAGAATTGATGAAATGTTGATGGGTTATTTTGTTCTTTATCGGCATTTTAGGAACAAAAGTAATTTTGTGTGATATGGGTCATATGTGGTCAGATTATTCTAATTATAACCTAACATTTATTTTCTGTCCCTTAGTGAGCTTTGACACATTTATATTAACAGTATTATATAATAGAAAGGAGTATTACATAACAGTGACACACGGTATTAAACGAACGAATAATAAAATCTATAAAACTCTATAAGAATGGAAAACAAAAGAGGAAAGGAAATGTCGTTTCACCAAACAACTTGCAACACCAATAATAAAACAGTGAATTCCGCGACAGCGGTGTAATATAACTTTCACCCCGACAAAAGCAAGCATCGGTGCCTTGGCCTACAATGCAAGGATAGCCTCCTCATAACTCTTTAGTCGTTCTTGCAAACAGTATGGATGGATCGATATATATATATATATATGGATTGCATCGAATAACTTACAACATGTAAATATATTGCAATACTATATTATATTACAATAAAACTGAATGGAAAAGGTTTTTTTTTTCGGTACGCCATGGTACGTCAATTCTTTATCAAATCCAGTGAAGATATCCTGCTTCATATGCGAAAAATAGTACTATCTCTCAGAAATTTCTAGAAAAAAAGGTTATGATGGAACAGAAACTTTATTTGTGAATAACTCAAAAAGTATGCATTTTTTTCTTGATTGTACTCCAAAAATTATCTATAAAAATTGAACAATTGTTTAAAATATTAACAATTATTTTCTATATTTTATTATTAACAAAGATACAGTCCATTAATTTTGGTATAATTAATATTGTCTTCCTTTTTAAAGATATTGCATTTAGGAGTAGAATAGTCTACTACGCTTTTTTCCTGGCTGATGTATTAACTTTATTATTCCTTAAAGGCATTTGTTTGTTCTTACATTATATTTTGTTTAATAATTTAGAAAATCCCATGATTGGGGGATTATTTTGTCTTCATTACTTTTATTATCTTTCCAGTCAGCGTTTAAAAATAGGTCCTAGCAAAGCAGTTTGTACCAATGTTTTGGTCTATTATGTTAAATGGAATATTGTAATCGACCGAGGAAAAAATATTGATTCCTTCCTTACATAATACATCGCACTGGAAAGCTAGTTTAGATGTAATCCTAGGAAATATTTTTATACAAAGTTCCTGAATATATTGGCGACTTCCAACGGTAAAATATTTCATAAAATTTTCTATAGATATTGTAAAGATAAGATGATCAAATTGTTAAAAATAAAACAACGGATAGGCGACATTTAAATTACGACACACCGAAGTAATTAACTTCAAATCGAATATCAAACCATGAAACTTGAATCCTTTGTAGTAAATATCACCAGCGTTACATTCAACAAATTGGAATAACAAAGAAATAGCCGAGGAACAGACCCCTTTTCATATTCATATTAGAATCAAGATCATAAAGAAAATAGCTTACATTAAATCATTATATAAATCGGCAAACAAATCGGTTCAGCCCCTTTTACTCCTCTATTATTCAACCGATTTTCTTCATTCTTTTTTTGTTTAATAGATATTGACGACCTTTAATGTTATCAATAAATAAAAATATAAATGGTAGTTTGTTCAAAACGGCTTATCTCCGAAAATTCTTCACCGATTTTTTTAAAATTTTGACACAACGTCGCAATAATATTTAGAAGTTTTTTTTCTATAGGTTTCATTATCATCGGGCCTTTCCTTTCGAAATGGCTGCCAAAAAACGTGATTCGCTTTAGATTGTAGCGCCAATACGGCTAAAACGATTTCAATGAAACTTGGCTAAAGTCTTCCCCTTGAAACCTTTACAATTTACGTATATGACATACTTTACCGAAAACAAGCTGCATACATTTTTATGATGAATTCAGTATTTTATTTGCGAATAACTTAAAAAGTACACATTTTTTTATGGATAATACCAGTATTTATTCGAAAGCTTCCTGAATTCCCTACAAAATCAATAAAAACCCATCGAAATCGGACTATTTGTTGCAGAGATATATCATTTTAAACATTTAGTACGTTTTCTTTCCCTTCCAAGTTCGATTTATTTTATTTTGTTTTTTGATAAATCGAAAACTTTTCATTTACTGAGGTAATTGGGTCTATTATTTGAAGAGATATCATGTAATGTTAGTGGAATGATACCTCATTAATTAAATTTAAAAATATTTTCTATAGTTATACTCATTGTTAACTTAAATACTGCACAAGCATTAGTTAATGGAACAGACTGTATGAGACTGTAGTATTAACGGGGGCTACTTTAAATTAAAGAATTTTAATTCCAAGAATTAATTTAACATTTTCTGACACTACTTACATTCGACTTTCAAAGAACAACGTTCCTATTAATAGCTGCATTTGTTATGACTATAATCAAATCGCAGGATAAAAGTTTTGGAAAAATGTGTATATTATTGTGACGTATAGTAATTTCACATGGGAAATTATATGTGGCAGCAATTAGAGCACGTTCATTTAAAATATTGAAATTTATATTTTCAATGGAAATGGGCCATTAAAAATTTAAATTGGGCCTATGCACTAAACAATAACAGAACATTCAAATAGAACATTATTTACATAGAAGTTTTGAATAAAAATGGATTAAAAGTAAATTTAAATTGCTAAATTAAATTTATTTTTTACTTGCTTAATCATAACATTAATTTATTGTTATAATAACACAAACAAATTAAAATGAAAATTAAATATTTTTGAATGAGTGTATTTTGTATTACTTATAAATAATTTTAAATCACTTGAGCTCGATTTTTAATTGAAACTGAAATTTTGTTTGTATTAATAAATGAGGATTTTTGAATCGTGATTTACTTTATTTTTTATTTAATTATATCTTTTCTTCAAATTTTTAATGGCTATGGTCGACCACTGGGCCAACACTAGTATAAATAATTAATTAAGTATTAATAAAACACTTACAGCTCCTCCCTCTGACGTTGGGACAACACCATTTTCATGATCCTTGTGTCTTGAAGTCTCGTATTCTTTTACTAAAAGAGTAGGATCCGGCGTGTTTCCAGCCTGTCTCCAGTCTCTCCTTAACAATGCCTTCTGCCCATCACACTGCAACAAAAAGTTGAATAATCAAATTATTTCTGTATATTAACAAATTTTTATTATTAAACTACAACATCAATATTAACATTTACATAAAAAAATAAACAGTAATTAAAATATAATTATTTATATAATCATAATATATCTTATAATTTATAAGATAAATGATTTAGATAATATTAAAGTTTTACGCCATAAGTTTTAAAGTTTAAAGTCTTGTCATGATTTTTTTTTTATTTTTTTTTTTATTTATTTACAACAATGGCGGGGCTCCTCAACCTCTTACGGGCCATTTTAGCCCTTACAAAATATTTATTTTACATTGATTTTAGATGAAATTAATCCTCGTTATTTTGACAATTTGGGTGTATAGGTCACATCAAACAGCTCAATACTTTTGAAGGCCACCCTTTTTTCCAACTTAATGTGGAAGTTATCTTACGATTCAAGTGGAAAGCAAATGGGTTTATAAGAGTTTTTAGTCCCTAATTAAATAAACAAAGTTGCCGGCCTTCAGGTTTACAACGCCCCAATTCAGAGAATTTTCGTAAATAAAATATTTGTAGGTTACGAAGAGATGAAACTATATACGAAGTTTCAGCCGAATGTTAATAATTTGCTAAAAATGGGCCTGCACCACGGACTATTATATTAAGCAGAGCCGTTTCCATGGTATATGCGTTCGGGGCTAATTCGATTTTAATAATAATTTTGTGCCAAGTTTATATTATTGGACACTCTTCCGAAGACAATTTTAATGTTCTTTTATTTTTTGAAATAATAAATTCATTGCTAGAAGCACCATTTCCAAATCCAAAAATCGGTCCTAATTTAGCCCGTGCAAGTTAAACTGATAGAGAATGGGACAAAATTCATAGAACCAAACTTATACATCTTTTTATAACTCTATAGGTCTACAAAAAGATTGAAGCCTTGATTGAAAGATTGAAGGACATTTAAATATCTGAAAAAAAATAGAGAAAAACTTTTGCCGCTTAGGCACAGACTGGTGCTCCGCTATTTCATTTTATTTTTTGTAGGGGGAGTTAAAAATTAGGGGCATTCATACAGCTTGTGGTAAATGCTTAGTGTTATCATCCTAAGTAGTCAGCACAAATTTTAAATGAATGATAAATGACCTATCTGTGCTAACCTGATACAGTGTTATTAGTTATATAGTAAAGTTATGATTGTTATCATAAACGAAGTTTGTGAGTTCTCCTGCTTGATCGATTATTTTTAAAATGTCAAAGCAAAATAGAAAGGAAGATTTGCTGGATTACACGTCTAAAAATTCTTAACAAAGAATGAATTAAGATTCAGAAGTCAAGAACTTGATGAAAATATAAATGAGAAGTTGGCTGTAAACAAACAACAAACGAAGAAATAAAAACTTCACTATGAACTTCTCCGTGTTTTTACGAAATTAGCACCACTTCATAGGACCCTAGACTGCGTAAGAATCAAGTGCGCTAGCAGCCATATTTGACACACATATCTTAAATTAGTTTCTCGACTTCTGAAAAGAAACAGAGAACAAACATGCACTGTCGATTTTAAATTAAACAAATTAATTCTATGTATTGTTCGGAAAATTTAAAATGGATGTTCTCCGAGGTCATTAATGTGCTAAATTTTAATATAATACACTAAGACATTTTGTTATATTCAGTTCTGAATAAAGATTAATTAACTTGAAGTATTTCAGTAAAAACGAAAGCCCTCACGATTTATCAATGATTCCCACACTTTCTAACAAAGTAAAAGGACTGAAATTTGGCTCAGTTTGTTTTGAAGAAGTTATTAGGAAATAAAAGATTAAAAGTTTCCGATTTAGGGGTGAAATCGGAGTAACTAGCCCAAACAACAAAATTGCTTTACAAACCTTTTCTAGAGGGTAATGGCCCGACACATTTGTTCTAATAATGCTTTCAAAGAAAATAAAACAATAAATCAAAGCTCTATACTTTAAAACATATTTCTACGTTTTAATATGGAAGATTAAATATGAAATTATTTTTTTAATTAGAGAAAAATTGTAATATTTTAAAGATGGCAGGTAGATCGAGAGCTACCGGAATAAACTTAATTGGCGGCTAAGAGAAATTGGCAGGGTACAAGTAAATGTCAGATAACGCAGACAGGAAATACACGACTTAGAGCAGTGAAAGTCTAGAATGCCGAACGGCCATGAATATATTTAAGATAAGTTCAAAGCAAAATAAAATGACGACGATAGGGATGAATGAAGGGTGATCTTGGTAACAAAGTAGTGTTCCTTGACCAATGGTTACAAATGAGGTGGTGAATATTCATGGTTGACTTACCCCCAAAATGAGAATACGCACATTATAGAGACTGAGTGTGCCACAAAACGTGTTTACGCGTTAGAATCCTCAACGGATGAAATGACAGAATAAATAACTTATTGCTAAAACTCGCAACGGACCTGAAACCAGGTGACTGAAGAGCAGCGTGATTTAAACTTATAATATAAAATGAATTTTACGTGGTTATTTTCTAAAATACATTGTATAAATATATTCCAGTTTAATTAAAAATAAAAAAAAAGAAATTTCATTAATAATTTCAGAACAATGCATATTAAAAAAAAAAATGTAAAAGCTTGAGATAGATGGTATAGTAACTTATCTTAGTAATATTGAACTAAGTATAATAAGCGTGTAAAAATAAACAGAAACAATATCTGGAGAAAACTACATCAACAAAATGGCATAAAATATTCACAGTAACTTCTGTAAAAATAAAAAATCTTTAGAAATAAATAAAGTTGTAATGAACGAAAAAGGAAAGAAAAAGGAATATAAGGCATTGATGATTGTTTCTCTCAAAACATATCTAAATGTATACTTAAGACTGTATAATATAATATGTAGCACAATAAATCTGAAAACTGATAATATTTGTAATGTTGATGCGGGAGTGGTACCCCGTATATCCAAAATGTTTAGATGACGGATTTAACCTTGAATTATTCCATCCCGATGCGATAATAAGGAAAATTTGCAACAGTAGTTAAAGAGAGACAGGCAGGGTAGGGAAGTCGTCCATTATAATGACAAAAATTGATTGTTTTAATACCAAACTTATAAAAACAGACGAGGAATAAAAAGAATAAAGGAAGAAATAGTTAGAAACTACTTATTGTAATTTATAATACTTAAAAAATGATGCTTATAAAAACAGACGAGGAAGAAATATTAAGAAACCACGTATTGTAACTTAAAATGATTCTTTCTCTCTCTCTCTCTTTTTTAAAACTTTTTTAGAAAAAATAATAGTAAGTTGAAATAACATCTATGGTATCTCATAGAAATTTCATGTGAAGCTTTGTTGAAGCATTTAATGTATACAACATTGTACATTATTCAGATGTATCCCATACTCTTACGATACTTATAATATATGAGACTACGAAAATGATCTTCAAATTTCGTATAATTTTGCTTAAAATTCTAGTATGAGAATTTTCGGGCTTCATAAATTAATAGGAGTTATTTAAACCAGAAAACTGTAATTTAGTTTAAAAAAATGATTCCCTAAGATCGAAGTGTTTCAATATTCAAATATATGTATTATACAGGTACTTCGATAGCGTAAAATAATTGCATATATGTAAACACATTACATACAAATACACACACACACAAATTTAATGCCTTAAGATGATGTCACCAGCTGAGACAGACAGGTAAGATGTCGAAGGACGACCCCGTTGATTTGGCAGCAGAGCCACGATATCAGAAGGACCTTGGCCTGACCTCAGCCTATATCACCATATAAACCTCGATCGTTAGGGCTCTATGGTAATTGCTAATGAGGGAATTATAGCAAGGTGCATAGCCATCAACGGAACCAGTTCAAAAGACGCAGGATCTGGAGTCCTTATCAGGGCAGGCTGCTGATCGGGTCGGCCAATTCCAAATCCACGGCATCCCCATCCAGACTCTAATGGTCTTTCGCAATGGCAGTAAGCCATCACGTGAAGAAACATGGTTCATGGACTCCAAAAGTATAGACGTAGTTCAACAGTACAAATGCTTAGGAATAGTTCTTAAGCCTACTCTCTCAATGTCCAAACACCTGGCAGAAAAACTGAAGAAAGCCAAGATGGGTTTGAATTTGATTTGGCGCCAGTTTATGGAAAACAAAGACATAGCTCAATCCAAAAAGTTGCAAGTATTTAATTCCGTTAGTAGGGCAGTGATGTGCTATGGAGCACAAATCTGGGGTGGGGTAAATTATGAAATGGAAAGAATACTAAGATTCTTTCTTAAAAAATTATTTAAATTAACAAAGTATCCTCCAATACATTTTATTCACTTTGAGACTAAAATAGATCCGTTATTTATTTTCACAATTAAACTCCACTTTGATTACATTATAAAAATTTTGAACCTTCCACCACATAGATATCCAAAAATATTAGCACTACAATAATTAAAAAATAAATCGCATGGTTTAGGGACTTACTTAATCTGATAGAACTGCATAGATTAAATTTCAACTTAAATCGATCTAACTGTGATGATGTTAAACTATGGAGAGCTAATTTATATTTAGTAAGGACTCAAATTCAGAAAGACATATATAATCAATATGTAATTAAAGTTCAGAATTCTAAAACTTTCCCTTTTTATCCTCATTTAACTTCAGTAAATTATATTGAAGTCAAAAGCTCATTGAAAGTGATCAGATGGGTAATTAAAATTGGAGCTGATGTTTTGAACTTAAATTATAAACACTTCAAGCAAACAAATAATAATTATAGCATGTGTAATACAAACGAAACAGAAGATCTCTATCACTCCAATTTCAACATTTTTTATTACTAATTTTAGTCATATTTCTAGTGGGAAAATGTATACCTTTGTTCATAGTTCTATAATTCCACACTGCAATCACCTTACTCACTGCCTGTACATATATTATAAATTTCCCAATCAGAAATATTATTTTGTGGCTTTACTCAAAAATATTGTTGG